AGCATGAGCTAACCCCATTTCTCCATTTATTGTAAAGCCTATCGTTTTTAAGAAGCGAAGCCAAATGACTGCAGACTGACAGTGCAATGACGTCCAAACCTGCACTGACAAGCACATGTGTCACCAGGTAACATCAATGGCCCGATGCTGCAGATAGGAAACATTTGGTATCTTCAAAGCCTTGTGAAGGAACATTTGAAGAAGATGCTCTGGGCTGTGTATAATTTTTTTCTGTATTTGTTATTCTGTAAAATACCCTTAAGAGGCATACAGCTGAATGGATTCTTTGCAACCAAAACCCTGTTTATCACGCTCCAAATGATCTCAGTGAAATCTGTACCTTCCAGATTAGCTGTGGTCTAATAATACTACTACACAATGTGCCTATTTGTAATCTGAAAGCAAAAAAACGGTTTTGTAGTCAAGATGTGAAAATAAAACACACAGACAAACAAAAAGTATATTATGCTCTTCCAGTCAGTTGGTTGAGGGGGGGGCAGTTTCTTAAAAAAAAATATGCATATTTAAAGTGATATTAAAGGAAAACTCCAGGCAAATTTTAAATTAAAACTTGCAGCCACCCACGCACTGCAAGGGTTATCTGCTCCGTTTTGTCTAGGTACAAAAGTAAAGATATACTTACTCAAACCTCCAAGCCGGCTTGTCTTTAGACCGGTCCTTCCAGCGTCTCTCCCCCTCCGCTGAAGCATTCTATGGATCCTGGTGGCATCACGTTCTATACACTGTGTATAGAGGGGAGGATGCCGAGGGACATACCATCGCTGCGGGGTAGGAGCAGAGAGGCTGGACTGAGCGCTGTGACAGCCGGGCCGGCTTGGCTGTTTGGGTGAGTATATCTTTTTTATATATATTTTGTTACCTAGAAGAAAGCAAGCAGTCAACCCTTGCAGTGCAAGCATAGTCCCACTGCAAGGGTTAATAAAAATTGCCCAGAGTTATTCTTTAAAGTACAGGCTTTTAAGCTATTTCAAATGCTGATTTAATTGCCTACTATGGATGCTGCTCCTTGATATATAAAAGTTTGTTTCCTGCAGAATAAGTTGGTCCCCTGAGCACTGGCCCTGATATCCTGTTTTAGGATGTCTCCTTTCCCTTGCAGAGTCCTATGGAGCCACCCTTGTGTGTGCTAGTAAGCTGTGTGTGTTTCCACAACACAGACACATCAAGGCAAGCCAATCCTAAGCTACCCGCTCCTCCCTTCTCTAAGCTTTTGAATAGACTGAGCTCTCCCTTGTTATCTTGTACTGGACAGGAAGTTCAGGGAAGCGGAGTTGACAGAGTTGGAGCCAGCTGTTTGGAAACATGACGACTAAGTGTTTGGAAAAAATGTAAAGAAATACTTTGCTGGGCTATGCATATTTGTTTGATCTGAATTCATTAATAAAAAAAAGGTTGAGTGTTTGATATTACTTTAAGCCTTCTCTGGATGCTGACTGGTTGAATCTACCTCAGTTTCATAGCAGCTAGATCCTATCCAGATCTTACCAACTCTTCCTCTTGGTTCTTTTATTTAAAGTAGAGATACACCGATGGGATAGTGAAGGCAGAGTTTGGAGGGGGCAGAGATGGCAAAGGCAGAGATCGTGGGGGGCTCCCCCAGGTACAGCAGTTCCGCTCCTGCATCCCTTGATCAGCTGATCGAAGGAGCAGGTTGGAAAATTCTCGGCTGAACAGAGCTGGTAACCAACCAGTCAGCCTCTGCTTTCAGAAAATATAATTGTTTGGGGGTATTAAGCTGTTTTCTAGCCCCAAATTCTGATTTTATCATGTGTGTGTCAAAATTAGGAAATTATTCCGGACAGCAAGTGGTTAAAACAAGCCCTCATTCACCTCTGTGGCCATAGGCACTTTGGAGAAATTACATTTTCAAAGTTTACAACACAGGCACTGAAAACTCAGCTGCTTTTTAATGGAGAGCAGAATCTTTGCAGCCTGCCAGGATTCTAGTAAACACAAAGCAGGTGTCTCAAAGATGTTACCAACAGACTGAAACCTATCTTTGTTGTGATTTTTTGAGGATCTTTCAGAATGACACGTGTAGTGTTAGTGTTGCAACGCAAGTGAACAGGGAAGGGGGCCTTGAGCTCTTTAGAATGAATGGCACCGCACCAACACTGGTAACTATGCATTGCGGTAATGAATGCATGTGCATTTTAGCAGTGCAGTGGTCTATATGGGCCCGAACAGTTTGTTTTTGCTATAAAGCCACAGTAATAAAGCCTGTCCCCTGCCAGTATGCTGTAGACAAGGACCCTTCCTCTCTGTGTTGAAGCACTGGTCTCTCAGCAGAGGGTGGCATACCCCCCTGTTGAGTCAGAGCTAGAGCGCTCCAATTAGCAGGAAGCGTGAGCTTTACTACATGCAGAGCTACAGGTCATAATGAGCAGGGAACACATGGAACATCTGTAGAGAGACCACTGCTTCCATGCAGAAAGCAAGGGTTCTTCTCTGCAGCATGCTGACATAGACAGACGTCTCTACTCAGGTTGTGGTTGCTGTCTAAAGAAACCATAAGACTGAGTAGAGACAAAGATCACCAGCACTCAGCGATATCTTTCAATATGTCAATTTAATTGTCACATCTTTTCGCATGTGTGGCCCCGAAACGTTGGCTTTTGTTACTGTGACGCTTTGTCCAATTAAATGGACATATTGAAAGATATCGCTGAGTGCTAGTGATCTTTGTCTCTACTCTGTATCTGCACGTCGCTTTCCGTGGTCATCACTGCGAGCACCATCTTTTACATAGGCCGGGACTGCTGTGAGGTGTGCGGAGGGTTCCTCTATCTAACCATAAGACTTTGCACACTTTTTCTTCTGATGCCCCTGGAATGTATTTAGCAGATTTAAAATAATGTTCAACTGGGATTTTAAAATTGAAGTTTGTGGAATTTAAAATAACGGGAAGCAAACATAAAGATTATTTGCAGGGTATACACATAAGCTGTTATTCTTTATCACAAACTGAAAGGCCAATATCAGAATACAAAGCCCAGCAAAAATGTAGCAAAAAATATTTAGCTAATTTTTGAAAACAGAAGAACAATTCAACAGTTATAAATACATAGGACGCTGCAGATTCCTCAGGAGAACACAGCAGAAACAAAGAAGACCTTTTCAGACATTTGTCATGATGTACAGGAACTTGAGGTTCACTTCAGTTGACCATATTGTTCTTGTAAGTATAGGTGTTCTGTGTTCTAGAGAAGTGGAACTTTTGTGGGACTTAACTCACACACTACAAATATTTTTTTAAGCTATGGTATGCTCATATGGAGAATATGGAGAAGTATTTTTTTTTTTCAGATTTATGGATTATTTTTATTGTTGTCTTTTTAAAGTAAATCTAAAGCCAAATTTTATTTGGGTTCGCTACAGTAGAAAAAGTTTAGAACCCTTGTCAGGTTTCTATTGCTGTCTCTATCCCCATAGGTATCTGGAGACCCCCAGTGTGTTTCTGTACCAAATCCATCAAAACAATAATGGAAAAGCCGTCTGTGAAGGTTCTCATTCATCCAGGTCATGGTATATCTGTAAAAAGTAAGTCAAGGCAACTAGACTTGATGTATTTTTCTTGAAGGCATTTCACTGGTCATCCAACCAGCTTTCTCAATTCAGAATGACTTGTACAAAAAATTATCTGGGAATAAATAGGGTGAATATTGCTCCAATCCACATAATCTGTTAGTCGGGTTAAAGTAGCTCTAAAGGCTGCAACATTTTAGCCTTCCTGGACGCTCCTTAATCAGGGGAACAATACCCATTACATTTTTTTATTAATGGTGTGTGGCAAACACTTAATGCCTACTGTCCACTGAACTAGGGGAGGATGAACACGTTGTTTCTGCACGTAGGTGCGCTGCATGTTTGCATGTGTATGTGGGGGGCGGGGGACTTAAAACATTTAAAAAAAAATGTTTTATTACCTTTATATGTGACTTTAAATTTTTTAACTAATAATAATAATTTTTTTAACTAATTCTTCAAAGCACTGATCATCACCAAAAGGAACCCTCCTGTAGCCCAAAAAGCTTCTTAAAATCCAGTATGGCTGCCCAATTACAGATAAGGGATCCTGAACACTGCATAAAACAAAACGGGCGCCTGTCCAGGTGCAATAAACCTTTTTACTGGTAAAAAAAGGTGTACAATAAATTATACTCACAAAGGAAGCAAGGGTTAAAAGCATTAATGGACTGTTAGTCCTCAGTAATTTGTCTGCTGTGGAGATGAATTGCAGAAAATAAAGGACAATCCAGAAGCAGAGTCACGCTACCACTGCTGAACACATTTTCGGGGACACGCCCCCTTCTTCAGAGATCTTTTACCTTGGCAGGGCCATTTCAAGACAATGGTGGGTCCACATCCCCACCAAATAATGTTTTACCCACTTACGCAAACGAACACAAAGTTGACATCTACTGCACTGTTCAGCTGATTGCACCCAGGGTTGTCTGTTATGAAAATGTCAATACCAGCTTCCTACAGTCCAAGTGCCTGGGATATTTGCCCAGCTCTGTTAATGGCACTGCCTGTTGGACACTAGGGTAGAATCAAGTATGTCAATGGGCAGGCAGGCAGCAATGTACACTTACATAGATGCAGGGACCATGCAAGAAGTCCAACACAGCTGGCACTGAGTCTGTAACCAACTGGTGGGCCCATGGTAGATACCCCATTGAAAGGGTACTGCCCTTGGGGATATAAACGGTATCCCTAAATGGTTATGTTGTTTATACCAAATATTATAAATCATATGGCTCAAAATATTTTCATATTAATGTGTTCAGTTGCCATCATAAAAATGTAATAGAGACTTACTAAACCGCAAAAGTGTTCTTTTGGGTTAGTAGAACAATTCTAGGCATACAATGCTGATATGAAAAACATAATTTCATATCAGTTTCAGTCCTGTAATTTTATTTTAATTTTGCTAAATGTAAAGTAAAATGTATACCTGCTACCATAGATCACATTACCTGTGGGAGCAAGGCAGTCTTTCCAGTCAAAATATCCAGCATAAATACCAGGCTCCAAGGACCCAACAATAGGATCTGCTTTAATCTCGATAAAGGTTTCAAATAATCTTTGGTCCAGCTCCCTGAGAGACTCTGTACTGGCCTTAAAAATAAAAGTAATATTCATGTTATTTTTTTTTAACCATTTAACACCATTATTATAATATGTATGTAATGTTTTATAACATTGGCCATATCTGTTTATGTAAAGCTCCCATCCCTCCTCCTTCCCATAAAGTCAACAAATTAACCGTCAACACCCTCTACATGTTTACACATATTTTTAAGGGACTCTATGTTATTAAAATATCCACTGGAATATGGGTTATATAAGATTTTTTACAAAAAGTCTTTTAGCTGTTATTCTGAATTTAAACTGCCAAAAATAAAAGCAATCAGCAAGCTGCCATGCCCTCCAAAAAACTTTGCATGTGCGCTAAAGCTTGAAATTCTGCTAATTTCAACATTATCTGAAATCTCATAAGAGTCCTCTGTAGGACTGCAGGGTGTGGTAAAATAAACTTTCCCTAAGGATGAATTCACACCAGATGTGTAGTGGCCATTATTTCCAGAGTAGTCCCAACACAAGACAAGGCAATTTGTGGTGGAACTCGGTGGTGTGCGCTGAAAAAAAGTATTGCATGCAGTACTTTTTTCAGTGCGAGATGCGACCACGATGTGCCCATAGAACTTTAAAAAAAAGTAAAAGTAAACAGTGCGATGTGCTGGGATCGGCACATCAGCACTGTGCCACGCACCACACACTAGCTGCTGTGTGATGTAGTGTAGTGGCTGGTGTGAATGGGCCCAGCAGGGGTGGGCAGGGATGCAATGGACTCAGACAGGGTGTAATGCCAGAATTATTGAACACTGTCACATGCAATCTTTTAGGTTCATATAAAGACATATACACCAAAATGACTAACAAGGTATAAATGTAAATGCCCAGATAAAAATGGGTGCCATTCTGTAGGCAAGCAGTGTTGTATTAATCGGCTTAAAATAAAATGTTCATGTTTTTCACCCTAAACCTGCCAGTGGCAAAGAAAATAGTGGCTGACAAGCTATAACATTAACAGCGACTTGGTGTGATGCTCAAGAAAAAAAACGTTTTAGATTTGGTTAAAAGGGAACTATATAGTCTTTAATGAGAAAGTATTGTGTATTTCCAGTGAGAACATATTTGCAGTTATTGGAAAATGTCATTTATTTAGGCAACATTCGCATTTTTAAGTGCTTGCACGTTCACATTTTTGTTATTTTATTAAACGTAGACATTTGTGGACTGACTACAGAGACAGCGAATATTAGCTATTACGCTGGCCAGAACTTTTATAAATGAAACCCTTAGACTTATTATTGGTGAGAAAACGCAGTAAAGCACAATTGTATAGCATCGCAAAGCAAGAAGCAAAGCTTGCATGACCCTCTTCATGACCAGAGGTCAGTGGAGCCTAGATGCCCAGATCAAATTTAGCAGTGTAGATTTTCATCATTAACTTGATTATAAATACACCGAAACATTGTTATTTAAAGTGTGAACCCAAAAAATGTTTCTCATATATGTATTTGTGATTGAATTTTGGATAAGGTATATATTGCCTTTTCCTTTGTGACTGCTTGCATTCCTCCTGGTGATCCTGCCAGGTTCTTTACCCTCAATTTTATTCTGACCACGCCAATCACAGAAACAGATCCATGCTGGCTTGGTCAGCTTGCTTATCCCCTCTTTTGAGATAGAATCTAACGTTGCCATGCCTGTATCTCACGTGGTCAGAATAGATGCCATGCCCCATACCCAGCCAATCAACACCCTTCTAGAACACAGGGCCAGTCATCGGGAATGCAGCATAAACATCAGTAAAGTACCATAGCCATTGTGTACTCTATGTTTCAGATGGCATCAGTCAGTTATGGAAGTGGTCACCCGGAACAAAAACTCCTTACAGCCCCTAATGCACTCCACGTACAGCCACTGGAACATATTGTCAGCCATCTGGAATGCAGCAAACACAGAATGGACCATACTACCTGGCTGCGTGCAACAATAAATTATTAGTGTGATAATTGATGTTTGCAGCACATTACTGCCACTTGGAGAAGCTGAGGAGCATAGGGATGCAAAAGTATTGTGCTGCAAACATCATTATAAATCATTCCATATGCCTCCACAGCAAAGGCACAGAGAGAGAGAGAAGCACGGTGACAGTTGCATTAGGGAGAGGTTTGTAAGCAAACCTTTAAGTAATCGCCATGATTGACTGTCATGATAACCACATGAGTAGCCATGCTGATAGGTCTCTGATCATTTGTGTAAGAACTGCAGCTTTCAGTCACAGTGGGGTCTCAGAACTAAAAATGAACATTAATATGTGCATTGCTAGTTCTTAGTTGGAACAGCAAAGAAAATTTCTCACAACATTGACAAAAAAAAATATTAATAAGACTATAGAGTCCTAATTTTTTTAGGCACATGTCATGAGACCAACTAATTATAAACATTTATTACTGTGGGTATTAAACCATGTTTTTTATGTATAAGTTGGTACTGACATTCAGTAACAGCGATAGAATGAATGTACTGCAAGTGACATCACTGCACTTGTATTCCATTAGTAACTACAAGTCCCTCTGCCACAGTGGCTAATGTGACATTGTAGTCCCTTGTAGCTTTTCCACTCATAGATACTATGAACGGGAATGTCTGGGAATGAATGATGTGGCTGCCTGGGCGAAGACTCCAAAAAGAGCAGCAATCTGAGGGGAGAAGAACCCTGCGATTTAGGTAAGTGGGGATGGGGGTAGGGAAGTGACCATGTTTCATGTTATTGAATATGGGTGTAACATGAAATATGGTCTATAAGGTAAACTAAGTCAAAAAATTGGGGTGAAAATAAATGTTTCATAACATTTTATAGGGAAACATGTTTTTTTTCCAAAATTTAGGGTACTTTTTTTGTTATATAGTAAAAAATAAAAACCCCAGTGGTGATTAAATACCACTAAAAGAAAGCTCTATCTGTCCCCAAAAAATGGTATGAAATTCATTTCAGTACAGCGTTGCATGACGGAATAAACATCAGTCAAAGTACCGCAGCGCTGAATACTGAAAAATGGCCTGGCCAGGAAGGGGGTGAAACACCATGGCCTTTAAGTGGTTAATCTACATTTTACTAGAATTTCAGATTTAAGCAGTAAATGTGTGTTCTGATAATAAATGTAGACACAAAATGTAAATAGCAGCACACATGCTACTGTTCGTGGCAACGGAGGAGTTTAGGACGCTGACATAAATGCTTGATCCACCCTTCTTGACCATGTAATCATCTTCTACACCCCTTCCCCTTCCCCTTCCCTCTCTCCCTTTCCTTTCTACTCCCCTGTGTCTCTGTGTGTCTTCGTGTCCTCTGCTGTCCATTTTGTCCTGTGGTGTTATCTGTCGATTGTTCTGTTTGTGTTGCAAGGCAGGTCTGACTGGGGAATGGCCCCTGATGAGTAGGGCTCCAGAATCTTGCAGGGCTTCCCTTGATCATCTTAATGTTGGAGACTCGAGTCTGACTCAACAGTGTTGTCCTCCCTAAAGGGAAGAACTTTAGCAGTCCGGAACCCCTACACGGGGACAAGACCTTGAGCGGAGGTACGGCTTATGGCTGGGCACATTGTCATATACGTTTCTGAGGTATTTGTTATTGTCTTCAGCTCTGCACTATTACTAAGATTGCTCATCGGATGCTGCCTTTGCATGTTGTTCACTCTGTATGCTGTTTATTTTGGTATTTGTGAAAATTTAATAAACACTATTTCTGCAAAAAAAATAGCAGCACACATTTCTGGAAAAAAAGAAATAACATAACCTTGGTCAAAAGATTCTGATTTGTCATCAAAAAATTATTCCTATCAAAAAGTCAAAATTAAAAGGTACAAGTTATCACGCCCACTCTGACATTTTATTCTCTGAAACTAAAAAGGAAAAAAAACCCTCACTAGGCTTAAAAGGGACAGAGAAGGTGACCAAGATTTAATCGATTCTATTCTTTCTCTGAAGATAAGGATCTTAGAGTTGAGGCGCTGACACTGAAGACTAAATGTTACATAGAAATCTGATAGCAGGAAGCATTCTGAGTGCTTGAGTATTGGCTCTGTACAACACTGTACTTTGAAAAGAATATTTGCCATGATAACTCACATACTGCAGAGCCCTGTGCCGTATCATAGTTCAAAGGTATATACTTGTTTAACACAATACTTACGCGGCATCAGTGAAATGTTGGGTAATGGAATAGGAAAAATGTTAGACATAAAATCTAGCTTAAAGCAGGACTCCAGCTACACAGCTAAATATGCAAATGCAATACAGAGTCACATGAAAAGCGAAGTACACCCCATGGAAACTGTTGACTTTTTCAACATAACAGGCAAACATTAGATCTTTATTTAAAAAGTACCCACAGCTAAATGTGACATACTTCAATAAAGAAAGAAACGTTTTGTGATAGAACGGTGCGCTGGGGAAAATCTAGGTTCAGAAGCTGGTAGTGCCTCCTTTAGTAGAAATTACCACCACCAGTCTCACATCAACTGAAATCTTTGCCCATTACTCCATACAAAATCCCTTCAGTTGCAAGCTGTTAATGGGTTTCTTTGCATAAACTGCCTGTTTCAATCCCTCCACAACATTTCAATAGGATTCAAATCAGGCCTTTGAACAGGACGGTCCATAACCCTCTTTCCTCTTTTTGAGCCAATACTTGATTCATATGCTACTGTGACTTGGATCATTATCACGACAAAAGAGCTATTTCTGGTTCAACTTCTTATCAAGTACACTATATGATGCAAAATACATAGTTGACTTGATGACTGAAAGCTGTCCAGATGCTGTAAAAAAAAGCACACAGTTGGTATGAGTTCTTCTCCTGAAATGCTGTCTGCGGTTTGCACCAAACATGTCTACTGTGGCCAAACAACTTTATCTTTGATTCATCAGTCCAGAGCACATTTTGCAGAAGGCCTGGCCTTTGCCTACATGTTTAATGGCAAACTGTAGTGTTGTCTAAATTTTCTTATTGTGCAGCAAAAACTTTTCCTGCAACATCTACCATGGAGATTATATTGGTGTAATCTCTTTCTGACTGCATATGCATGCACTTTCAAACCAACTGCTGCAAGAGTTACCAGCAGATCCCGCAATGTAAATTTGGGTTCTTGCAGACTTCTTTTAGAATCAGTCTGCTCTTGGGCCACATTTGTTGGGCCAGCTAGTCCTGGACAAATAAGCAGACGTTTGAAATTTATGTCACTTGTAGAATGTTTTCCTTACAGTGGAATGATTGATTTTAAATAATTTAGTGACCTTTTAAAATCCCTTGCTAGACTCAGACAGCCACAACATTCTTTCTGAGGGCTGTTTTGATCTTGGCATGATGACACCAACCATGTCCATAGCAAAGAAAACACCAGACCCTAGATGCCTGAGGTTTATATAAAAAGGTAATCTGGCATACTCCCCAAGGAGGTTCTAATCACTGGTACCTTATCCGGAACACCGGATTCTAATTTCATGAATTATAAGTAGTGGAAATTGAAGGGGTGTACCTACTTTTTTCTAGATGATTATGAGAATGAATACACCATGTCAATTTTTTTGCGTAATTTCACCTTTATCTGTAGGCACTGTTTGAATTATTCTCAGATTCTCCATGCCCAAACCATAATGGGGTGTATGCACTTTTTCACATGACTGCATATAAGTGTTGTTTTACCTGTTAAATGATATATACTTCAATCTACTCACTTGATTTACTTTTTATTATTTGTTTGTAAATGTCTCTAGTAGTGAAGTAAAAAAGACTTGCATCCAATGAGATATCAACATACTCACAGCAGATAAAGAAATTCAGGAAATTAATGTCCAGATCTAAAAGTGGAATTGTCATGTTCACTCATAGATTTATATTACAGGATTAATAAGAAATAAGAAGGGAGTGTGGTACTCAAACCACAAGCAGCATAATGATACGGTGGAGTGGGAAACCACAAGTTAAGTCATACAAGAAGGTGAGGTGACCACCAACAGCAAACAGCAGCCGTTAACGCCTATTAAAGTGGAAGTAAACTCTTTGCAACTTGACAGGATCAGTTTTTATATAGCACATACTAATGATAGTCCACATCAAAATCTTCCATACTGTTCCCCTTGCTAAGATACCACTGTATTCGTTTTTTGTATGGCGCCACCCGTGCATGTGCAGTTCTATGCCCAATTCGGGGTATACAGGCCGTGCCAACATCATCACAGCTCCTTGCCAGAATTACATCATCTTCTATCACTGGCAAGGCACTCACTCTTCACTTGTGTGATGCCCCCTTACTGGTACCCTATGGGATTAGTGACTAATTACCATGGGGATGAGCTGGGATACTGACAACATGTCAACAGTACCATGGCAACATGGAATCCAAAGCAAGGTTTGGATCGCTTTGAACTGCGCATGCGTAAGATTTATCTATGACAAGATATGACGGCGGAAACAGAGTTATTGTCACCAAGCAGAGAAAAGCCTCCAAAATGGAGCAGACATTGGTGGGAGCAGGGTGAAAGGGCCTACATCCAAAAACTATGCCTTATAATAATGACCTATAGTGTCTTTACTAGGCTATTAGGGTGATTGCGGTACTGACCTTTCCAACATTGGTATTCAGAGTTTACTTCCACTTTAAGTGATGTCGAGTTTTTAAATTAGTTAGGAATTCAGATGATTTTTACCAATAAACAGAGGACATAAATAAGATACATACCTGCGTTATCTTCTCTATTCCTTGGAAGCCATGCTTCTCAAATTGTTCAGCAATGTTCAGCAGTGTATGCCTTTCGAGGTAGCGACAATTGCTCAGAACAATTAAAAGTCGTTGCTCCTAGGAAGAAACAAACAGATAAATTACAGGTAAAAGCTTTTATGCACTGAATACCATTATCTCTGATATATAAAAAAATGTATATAGGCCATATGTTTATAAAAACACTATTTAAAATGAATTATTTTCATCCAAAGTGTGATTTATAACCAATATTACATGAAATAATATCATATTTAAACCACTGACATGTCAATAGAATATGTGTATAGCTGGACAGCAGAATAATGCACAATCTATAGGAAATAATGGTTAAATCTTCAAAAAAAGAGACTCAATACAATTGCATATGTGAATTTAAATAGCAGTTTAAGAAAGTTTATTGACAGAAATGACAATAACACATTTTATATTAATAAATGAACACTGAACTGCCAGTGGATTTTTCTTGTAGCTATAGTATGGTGCTATAAAAATAAAATTATACATCTTGTTTAAAGTGCTGTCACTTTAAACAAGTTGCTAGCAGACTCAGCACAACTTGAAGCTTGTTGAAAGTCTGCCTGCAGTTTGTTTAATGTGACAGCATTCCCATTAAGACCGGTTATAACATTTTAGCACATTTAGTGATGTATATATACAGAGTGTGGCATTGTGAGGCAATACCACGGTGTTAGGTGGCCTCAAAGTCACCCAGGGTTCTCAGCCAGAGGGGCTGAGTGGCTCCAGGAAGACATTACTGGTACCAGGAGAGAACTGCCTTTTCAGTTCTTTCTGGGTTTTCTGGATCAAGGTTGGGATCCTGGAGCCAGGAGATTTCTTAGAGCTCTGGGTGGGAAGAAATCTCCATTCCTGGGTCCATGCTTTGGTGGTGACCAGCACCTGATTGTGCACCTGTTTACATCCCTCATGAAGTGTGTGCTGGGATGTATTCAGGGCCCCACCTGTGAGTCAGGAGAGCTCCACCCCGGAGTCAGTGTGGAGGCCAGGGGAGCAGGGTGTTGCGGGTTTGTGAACCATATTGAGAGGATTGGCATGTTATTGCTGTTGTCTGGAGGAACCAGACAGTGGCCCTAAAGATTGAGGCCGGAGCAGCAGTGCTGCGAGAGAGACTTGTTAAAAGACTGGGACACCTTGAGTGTACGTGACAACTCGAGGATTGGTGAGCCCCTATCTGTTATGCTACAGCAAGCTATTTATGTTGGATTTCGTGTTATCTATCGTTTTGAAAGCAAATAAACTGCATTGTACTTGCACCTCCGGTCTTCAGTGGAGTGTCCTTGTTACAAGAGCTACATTAATTATGTATTTTATATATGCCTGGAGTTCAGCTTTAAATGTGTCCTCCCTTGCCTTAGGACCTTCTGAAGGTCTAATGAAAAACTCACATTACGTTTCATGCACCATAAACCTCTAACAAGCTAATCAGGCAAAAGCAGACGCGGGAAGAGAGAGCTTATAAGGTTGGTATACTCATCCTGTCAGGAACCTGCTCCTATGCTGCTAAGTAAGCTAGAAAAGATAGAGGACTGATGGAAATGCTGAATAAATTGTCTGTTTCAACCTCTCCCTGCATTAGTGGGCTTTAGCATGTGGTAATGAGAGGTGGGGACAATGATTAATCCTTCATAAGTAAGGTGAAGCGGTTTATTGACGGCTCAAATTCTGTCTGACTTCTGCTGAATCACAATTCAAGCTGTGGTTGGCACTGCAAGCACCACCTGGCTGGACAAAAGTTAATTTAAAAATCATCTACGCTGGGTGGAAAATCAGATGCAGTCACTGCTTCGGTATTCAGACAGCTGCAGGTGCCACCGCTGCCTAAATACAATAGCTGAAAAGCGAAGATTCCTCCATACATGTGGTTTAGCCTGAATGGGGGAAATCGATTGATTTTCTCTCATTTAGAAAAAATGTGCCTTGTATGGCTAGATTAAATGATTAACATACAATGCAGGCTCCAGACTAAAAAAAAACATTGTAAAAAGAATATTAACTAAAACGACTGTACTTCCCGAGTTGTGGGGCACATAGACACAACATTTTCAAGGTGCACATCTGTTTTAGCATTACCAAATTTTTGGCATATGGGATGTACTTTACAGTATAATCCTGCACAAATAATTGTCTCTTTTTATTTTAAAAGGATTACTAGGCCTTGAACCTTTCCTGCCCTTCCTGAAATTTTCTGGTCTTTTGGCAAGGCTCAGCTCCATCTTTTGCCTCTCCCTACTGGTAAGTTCTCTGAGGTTCTCCCTTAGGCAGGATTCAAATACAGGGGGATCCAAGAACATACACGCACACACAATAGGTTGGACTTGATGGACCTATGTCTTTATTCCACCTCAAATACTATGTAACTATGTAATTAATGCGCATATCCAGTTTGATAAGGAAAGTAGCTTACTATGTGTGAAGACAACAATCAGAGTGGGTTTTAGGTGCATTTTTGATGCACTTTGGTGTATTTCGCCCTTTTCACTCGTTTTCTAGTTGTTCTGGCTTGGTTAATTTACATGTTTTTTTCCCCATGTTCCGGTACTTTTTTCAAAGTTCTGGAACTGAACTTGTGAAATAGCCTAATTTAAAACCACTTAAATGACTGTGTGTGCGTTTTTGGTGTGAATAAAAAATATGTGTGAACAAGCCCTAACCTGAATACTATTAGCTACTACAATTTCAAAACTAAATTTTGATTATCCTTAAATTACATCCCTGTAAAAACAGTGGTCTGGAACACATACAAGCTTCTTTAGAGCAACACACTAATGTACCCCCATGGGGCACAATGCCTCCCACTGACACCAAGAATGGGGCACAATTCCTCCCATTGACATCAAGAATGGGGCACAATTCCTCCTACTGACACCAAGAATGGGGTACAATTCCTCCCACTGATACCAATGAAGGGGCATTTTTTACTTCTACTGACCACAGTCTGGTCCCCTAAAGTTTGAGGACCCCTGTAATATATGAATAACACACTCAGTGTGTTAAATAAAATATGGATTCTAATTAGTAGAGAATGAAAATATACAGCACATGTGGGTAACATCGAAGACTTTATAGTTATTTAGTAAAACTGCAAATAATAGTTTATGAACAAGTTGCAAAGTGCAACGATTCATTTCAAATGTACTTTTTCATATGTTAAATGTAAAAATATTTTTTCCCATTTGGCTGAAACCCAGTGAAATGCCAACAATGAAATAAAAATACATTTAAAGTATAACAATGGTCAAACTATGAGATAAGGGCTGCCTATGCCACTAAGATTGCGCTCTCTGTTTACCCTGAAACATTTTGTAAATATCTGTTAATTCTCCCAGAAGAACCAATGGATAGACCCTTCCTTTTACAGGGTGACAACACTCTTTCTTCTGCAGAGAAATTAGCATTACACCCTTGCTGCTTCTGTAGCTGCTTAAATGTTGGCACAGTTAATAGCCCAACCTGAGAATAACCATGCCCAGCTCCACTCACAGCTCTTTAGATTGACAGCACTTTGCTCGATCTGCAGAAACTTAGGGAAATAATGTAATAGTCCTATAGCCCTGCTTAGTCCCCTCCCCCCAATTAGTACTGTCTAGCTGGGTGTAGGAGACTCTTGCTTCCCAGTTGCATTTACCACTGAAAAAGATGCATATTACATTTAAGACATTTAACAGGCCAATTTGCCTTTAAAATGCCTGTTTATCCAAATTATAAACTAGTAAAGATATGGATTGTTCAGTAGTTTAGTACATGTTTACTTTGACATTAATATTGACACTTGCTTTTAGCAAAAGGTTGGCTTTGCATGAAAAGAAAAGAAAAAACTTACAGGTGATATTGTAGGCTCTTCATACATGCTGCCAAATAAATCAGGAGATGAAACATCCATTGAGACACTAAAAAACACACAGAATAATGTATTAATGCTACAAAACACAACAAGTACAAATAACAAGTGTTATTTAAAGAAAAAAGGGAGAATCAATGCTATTTCTAAAATAAACTAAAATAAATAATGTTGAACTCTTTCATGTGAAACAATCGCTGCCTTCAGCCAGTCTACAGTGCTCAGGCCCCGAAAGGAGGATCATGGCAGGCAGTGCATGCCACATCCGACCGCTAGAGGGAACTACCATGATACCATGGGAATTCAGTGACAAAGTGCGTGTATGCAGGCGGTGTTCAGAGCCGATTCTAGATTGTAGGTGGGTTGCAAGCGGTTGGAGGACACCTGCCCACAGAAAAGAGCAAGTCGCCACTCTTCTAGGGGGAAGAAACATGACTGGGAGTCATTTCTACATGGAGAGAAAAACCAGAGGAGGAATAAGGAGCAAGTTGGAGGGGGAAAAAGAAGAAAAAAGAAAACACACTTTACAAACAAAAGACAAGCTTTTTTTGTACAATGTAAGGAAACAACTTTACAATGATTATCTATTCCTCCTGGCTGGGGTTCATCTTTAAGCCCATTCATGGTACAGTGCATGCCAAGTCTGCATCTTCCACCTTAGAAAGGATGGTTGATAACAATCACATGCAGTTTAGTTTAAAGGAGAAATAAAGCCAAACCTTTGGATTTACTTCTCTTTTGGGTCATGGGTGTACATTTATTAATGAACTCCTGTGACCCAAAATCAGCAAATAGAGAGCTACCATCCACCATATGCAGACAGCACAGAATCGTGCTGCAGCCGAGTAGGATCCCCACAATTCTGATCCTGATTGACAGCTGGCTCTTCCTCTCAAGAGCCACAGCTAGCTGTGCCTGTCCACCCCCCTGCCTGTCCCTCCAATGAAAGCGCTGAAGGAACAGAGAAAGTAGGGTAGAATCCCTGATCGCACATGATCGCTCAGCTCTTGGTATTTAGATCTGGCATGTGGCAGCTGCAGTGTCCCAGATCAGTTCCAAGTAGGGATACTAGTATCGGTGGCGATACCAAGTACCGAGTACTCGCCCAAATGCTCCAATACGTATCCTGATACCGGAACTTTCGCTCAGAGGGAGATTTCCTCTAACAGTCAGTGCCACGAGGGAACATAGAGTTGGCTTCACGGCCAATCAAGAAGCTGGGCCGTGGGTAATGACTTTCGGCCCACCTTCCTGATTGGCCGGGAAGCTGGCTCCATGCTGATTGGCCGGGCTGGCCAAACAGCATAGAGCCAGCTTCCCAGATAATCAGGATGGCAGGCCGCAAGTCATTACCTGAGGCCCAGGCAGTGGGTAATGACTGGCTTTCTGATTGGCCGGGATGCCGACTTCCCAGCCAATTAGCATGAAATCGATAAAACAGCCGGCTCTATACTAATTGGTTGGGAAGCCGGCTTCCTGGCCAATCAGCATTGAGCCGGCCAAACAGCATGGAGTCAGCTTACCGGGCAATCAAGAAGCCAGGCAGCGGGTAATCACACGCTGCCTGGCTTCTTGATTGCCCGGGAAGCTGGCACCATGCTAGCGCAGGGGTGTGGATATTTTTGAAAATACTACTTGTCCAAGGACTAAAGCGGGGGCCGGATCTATTTGTCCCTCATGACAAACTACTTGTCCTGATAAATTATTTTTTTTCTAACAAACTGTATTTAGCAGTGCTAAGAAGCGCTTCTCATTGATCAGCGTCAGGTGACCGCGTTGACCAACGAGTGCTTGCAATTTGTGAGCGAAATTCAGAATACGTGGAACAGGTAGAGATAGTACACCCGTACTGGTGGACGGGAAGGACCGTACGCCGAAAGGTAAGTATAGTGGGAGGGAGATTTGTGCGGGTAATTAAATTTTTTCAAATTACTTGGGAAAGTGAATTTACCCTTTAGGGTTGGTGCAGACTTGGGCAATCCCGCGACGTGTGCAGTTGTATACAGCGGTTGCATCTGCATGTATGGGGTTACATCTGCATGGCAATCGCTAAAAAAAGGTGCATGTACCTCTTTTTAAGCGGCACGCACCGTGAAGTGTTTTCAACCGTGATCATGCCCGCCTGGGTGGTATTGTGGCGGGAAACCGTGCGATCTGCCTAGCGCTACTGGGCTGCCATTAGAAAATAATGGCACTGCTAGCGCGATCAGCGGTGGTGTGCGATTCCGTGACCACCCGGCCATCCGCTCGGTTTTGTGCGCGATGACCAGGTGGTCACCGATCGCGCACCACCACCTCGTTGGTAGTGATATTATTTTCTAATTGCACCCGAGTCGCGCCAGGCAGAGCGTGTACTTTCCCGCCGCAATACCGCCCTGCCCGAGCGGTTGCACAAGATCGTGGTTGAAAACACGTGTTTATTCGCATGCATATTGTGGGGGCAGCGGGGTTGGTTTTCATTTTTTTTTATTTACTTTGTAAAAGTTTTTCATTTATTGTATTACTTTATTGCCTTTTTTATATTTTTATTTAGTTACATTTTTAGTTATTTGTTATTTTTTTACTTTATTATTTTTAACTATTTTTTTCACTTAACTTTATTGCTATCACACAGGGGATAACAAACCCCTGTGTGATATCATTTGAAGGTGACAGATTTGCTTTATCGAACCTGTCACCTTCAATACAAGAGTTTTGTGTGCTAGAACTCCTGTGACAGGAACGAGCACCGGCCGGGGGCACCGCTCACCTCTCCACGTGCCCGGCTCTGTCACCGCTCCACGCTGTCACTGCTCTATCACCGCTCCCCCCGCTGCTCAATTACAAGAAAAATTAGCCCTGCTACTTGTCCGCAGCAGGGCTAAACACTGAGAAAACCACTTGCCCGGAACTGCATGTTCCGGGTGTCGGGCGGTACGAATTCCACACCCTTGTAGCGGTATTGGTACTTGGTATTGGCGAGTACCGAAATTTCAATATCAGTATTAGTACTCGATGCAGAAAAACTGATATTTGTGCATCCCTAGGTCTAAGTATCAGAAAAAGTATATTTTACTCTCCCAATACTTCTCCTTTAATAAACTATGATATTTGTTTTCCCCCCCCAAAAATTGTAAAACCTTACAGATGATACAGCTCATGGAAGGAAATTTGTGGTCAGCTATAATCAATCTTTTTTGAGCAAAGCTCTGTTTGACTAAATACATACTGCTTTGTATCGACTTCCCCATCAGGCTTGGTACTCAGATATTCTAGAGTGGATATGAAGGCCTATAAAAGAGATGAAGAAACAATTATCCATTAAAAGCCAACATGTTTTGAGGAATCTGCAATCCAGGCACATTTCCAAATCAATATAGAGTATATCCCAAATGTACAGTAGGTGTGCTAAATCTCTTCACATTTGTAGAAAAATTATTCTGTATACTTAAATGAGGAGCCTTTTTTTTGTGAAAATGGATTTCAAAACAATTTTAAGATGCTAATACACCTAAAGATTGGGCGACCCAGTCTTTAAAGACACTAAACTCAGGAATTAAATTTTAAAAATACATTCAAGTACCCTCACTATTAACAAAAATGTTTCTTATTTGTGTATCATTCAGCTGTAGATCCTCAAATCATCTCTGAATTGGTGCTGACACTATCCTTCTTTCTGGAGGGTGTCTACTTTTGTTCCCCATGGTTCCTATGTGTGTTGTAAAGTATTATAAATCCTGATTCAAACTCGCTAAACTTCTGGATTGTGCAAGGAAACTCAAAACATCTAAACAGCCATGGCAAACCAATTTACTTAGATGTGGTCACATTTCATTAGGATCTTATATGCAGGGTATTTTCTATAAAAGAGGGTAGGTCCATGTATGTGAAGCTTTATCTATATAGAAGCTATTCTTAAACTTTGAGGTGTGCTACTACTTATAGTAAGAAGTAATAATAATAAAAGATTAATTCAAAATGTAAAAACACAAACATTTATCAGCACACTTACCAGCTAGCCTGCAACAAAAACAAATTACGCTGTCTTAACAATTTGCATTAAAAATAGAGGATTTAGATGCACAAATTTTGCAAAATATGTGGAAGCCACACTGAGTCGTCAAGGCCCCTCTGTGTAGTGTGGCCCTAACTCTAATCTATGAGAGCCACCATTAGGGAGCATATATAGCAATTGATAAATTGAGTGCAGGTACGCCTGAAGGTAGCCTATAAGGAGGAATAGGCTACCTCGAGGCATACCTGCAAAATGTTTGTACACTGTTAATCACAAAACTTCAATAAAAAGTATTGGATTAAAGAAAAAAATAATCATAAAACCTAGGTAGGAAGGAAGGGAGAAAGTGGGTGAAATATGCAGATAAAGGGTAGGGAACAAATCTGACTATAGTGATTAATTTGCACTCACCTGTATAATGTTGATGCAGAGAAGACACACATCATCCTGTGTTTTCTGATGCTGAAATATCTGTATATAATGACAAAAACAATCACAGGCCATTATACGAACCCAGCACAGCAGCAACTCATCAGAATTGCACAGTTTGCATTTCATTAGTATATAGTAAAAATGTATTACTTATACCAAATTCTATTTTTTTATTTTTGTAAACAATTTAATTTACTATAGACTGAAAAACACCAAAGCTTCACCATATGCTTCTGTAGCCTTTTTTTTTTTTAATCTCTGTGCATCTAAATTCTTTTACAAAATATACTGTAGAAACAGAAGAGTGATGGCAGAAAAAGACCAAGTGGACCATTGCATCTGCTCCTTTTTGAATTGTATTTGTTTAGCCCTTTTTGTCTGCGAATAGATCTGGGGTTTATCTGAAGCATGTTTAACGTAATTTACTGTTATGTGACTTACTACTACCTCTGCTTAGAAGTCTATTCCACCTATCAGCTACTCTTTCAATTAAATGATACATTCTAATGTTAATTTTGAACTTACATTAGTGTCCTGAGGATCCCCCCAGTACAGACACCTGGGGGATTTTTAATGACTGCTGCAGAATCATTTCAAGCCTACCTGAGGAAGTGTCCATTGTGTGATATTATATACACTGGTTATTTACTGAGGTAGAGAAAATAAATTTTCCACTGCTGTGAGTAACCTTATAAACAGATTTGCATGTACTATCTCTTAGTACCTACATACATTAATGATGCACCCATACCAATGCTAGTATCGGTATCGGGGGCCGATGCAGGGCATTTTGTACTTGTACTAGTGAAAATGCCCCGATTCTAAAGGCCGATATCAGTCCTTTAACCAGTTGACATCCGCGGTGTTAAACCCCCTTCCCATCCAGGCCATTTTTCAGTATTCAGCGCTGCGGTACTTTGACTGACATTTATTCCGTCATGCAACGCTGTACTGAAAT